GGTTCCTAAATTCAGTGACCGCTCTTCTTAAGAGAAAGAAGATTTGGATAGAGACACACATAGAGGGAAAGAGGCCATGTGACAACAGACAGAGATTGGAGTGATGTAGTTCAAAACCCACACCTCCTCCTTACCGGGGCAGTAGGGACTGTGGGCAGGTCACCGTTGCCTTGGCGCTCGGGGGACAGCGAGCTGCTGCCATTGGGGGAGTCCAGTCCCGATGATGGTGACAAGCTGAGGTCTACCAGTGGGGCCGCTGAAAAGCGTCCCTCCACCTTCTCAGGGAACTTGGGGTTCAGTAGGAAGCCTAAAAGAGAAGCACAATTCAGGGGTGCTAGAGTCAGGAGTCCTGGTGGGCTAGGCCCTCCCACCTCTGAATCCTAAGCCATGACCCTGGAAGCAAACCCCAGGCACGCCACACCCCCTGACCACCTGGGACCCCAGGTATCTGAGCAACAGCCTATATAACTGACAAATGTGATCGTGGCCATCATGAGAGCTCGGCCGTCAGTTGCCATGAAAAGTGGGAAGTATCCATTTTACAGATAGAATGATCTGGTATATAGGTTGAGCAACTGACTAGGAACGTGAAGCGAGGAGCTTCCCATCACATTGGCAGGTAGGGACCTTTTTGACTTTCCCCAGGCCCCGTCTGCCTCAGTGCTCCCCTCTAAAACGAGAGGTTTGGCTAGGTTACTTCTAGAGCCTTCAAGCTCAGAAGGGGTAGATGTGGTTCTCAGGAGCACCAGGGACAGAGCAGAAGGCCTGGGCCCGAAGCAGCCTAAGAAACACTTGCTGGGCCAGGTCCCCAACTCTACTGACTGCTGGCCACCCACACTGCCTCAAAGCCCAGGAGTTGGGTCTCCGGGCCTTTTGTTACCACACAGAAACTCTGCTTCCCCTTCTCAGCTCCTCCAACTCCTCCCAGAGACCTCAACTTGAATCCTGACTCTGCTGTCCCAGCTTTATAAACTGGGCAGGTAACTTCCTTCCTCCTGGGGACAATGTGACCTCCAAAGATAAACTGCTGGAAGGATGAATGGCCAGAGCGTGGGGAGCACTCTAAGCCAGAAGCTGTGAGGGACTGCAGTTACGTCCTGGTGGGCACACCTTGGACATTCTTTCTATTGCCACAGCTCCATCAGGGCCCAGAGTCCATGGCCCTGACCCAGTGCAGTACCTGAGGGCGGGGAGCCCGGGGAGCATGGAGTGGGGCTATCGTCCACCAGGCCAAGCTCCCTGTGCAGAGCTCGGTGCCGGACCACACTCAGCGTCCTCTCCCGCTTTTCTCTCGCCGCCCGGAGCTTGGTGATGCTCAGCTTCAGGTCAAGCGGCTCGTCCAAGGAGTGCATAGTGATGGGGGGCTGGGGTTGGAGGTGGCAAGCTGGTATTCAGGCAGGAACCTAGGGGAGGACAGGAGCTGTGCTGTGACACTGTGATCCCAAGTCCTCCTTGGGCTACATTCATTAAAGCCCACAGGAGCGGGAGGCAGTGTGTGTGCAGGTGTGTGAAGGCTGTCTCCCCAGGTAGGGAAACCTTCTGAGTGGCCTGGCCAGCAGGTATCATGAAGAGAGCCAACCATCTACTCAGATCTTCCATGTCCACTTCCCACAAGTCTTTTCTGGTAGGCAAAGCTCAAAGAGTCCATTTTGCCATAAAACCGAGTTTTAGAGACCCGGCCTCAGGTCACAGAGCTAGGAAGTGGTAGAGCTACCAGATTCAAGGTCAGATCTCCCAAGAAATAACCAGCCAAGTCCCAACGGTCATTTCTGACTGAGTGGCAAGTCATACCTGGAGCACATGCCTGGTTTGAGCCGAAAGACCCAAAACCAGGCCTGAGGAACAATAGGTGTTCTCCAAGGTGACCATGAGAGGTCTTCAGCTACTGACTGCTGAGGGATGATTGGGATCTGTGGTCACCTCTAAGGGAACAAAGCTGAGAGATGGCTGAGCAAAGTCTGGCCCCAAGGGTGCAGACAGGTGGCATTGCCTCACAGGTGAGATCAGAAGAGGTGTCCATAGGCACAGGGAGCCAGAGGGCTCTGGGCCGCCACTAGGGGGCAGCTGGGGGCTGTGGCCCAGCCAGGCCAGCCAGGGGCAGGGTTGGAAGGGAGTGGACCAGCTCTGTCTGGTGGTTACTAAAATATATGCATATATCATTTTTTTTTTTTTTTGGTGATGACATTCTTTTATTACGCGTTCTCATGCTGGAATTTTTACCATTTTCTTAGAATGTCTCAGTGATGTAATTTTCTTCACATAAAAATGACCCAAAAGCAAGGTCAACTCCTCATTCCAAATTAAAACTTCTTACAGAGGCGATCTTTTCACATGTGGGGAAACAGTCACAGCGTTTCCTTGCATTTGTTAATTGAGATGATTACTCCCTGAAAATCTACCTGCTAAACAAGCCAACACTGAGATACTCCCTGCCATCCACTGAATCCAGGTTTTCACAAATTTTTTTTTAATTTTTAAAAAAATATATTTTATTGATTTTTTACAGAGAGAAAGGGAGAGGGAGAGTTAGAAACACAGATGAGAGAGAAACATTGATCAGCTGCCTCCTGCACCCCGCCCCCCTGCACTGGGGATGTGCCCGAAACCAACGTACATGTCCCTGACCGGAATCGAACCCGAGACCCTTGAGTCCGCAGGCCGACACTCTATCCACTGAGCCAAACCGGTCAGGGCAAGGTTTTCACAATTTAAAACAGAATAATCCCATCAGCACCATGTGGTAAGAGACTTTGCATGTTTTGTTTGGTGTGTCTCCTGGGGGCCAGTGTTGCCTACAGAGCTGTGTGGTGCTCTCTCCACAGAGCAGGACAGGGGAGGACAGCCCTCACATCCCCACTCGTTTTCTCCAGGTCAAGCCCCTCAGCAATTTAAACAGTCCTCACCTAGTCCCAAGCCCTGGCTCATCTGTTTCCTAGGACAAGCTCCACTTTTTTGTTATTGTTAATCCTCAACCAAGGATATTTTTTCCCCATTGATTTTTTTTGTTTTTTTTTTATTTTTATTTTTTATTGTTTTATTGCTTAAAGTATTACAAAGAGTATTACATATGTCTCCTTTTTTTCCCCGCCCTTGACAATCCCCTGGTCTCCCCTACCCCCCAGTGTCTTATATCCATTGTCCCCATTGATTTTTAAAAATATATATTTTTATTGATTTCAGAGAGAAAGAGACAGGGAGAAATAGAAACATCAATGATGACAAAAAATCACCGATCGGCTGCCGAGCCCGCAACCGCTGGCATGTGCCCTTGACCGGAATCAAACCCGAGACCCTTCAGTCCAATGGGCCGTCACTCTATCCACTGAGCCAAACCAGCCAGGGGTTCCCTTTGATTTTTAGAGAGTGGAAGGAAGGGAGGGAAGTGGAAAGTGAGAGAAACATTAATGTGAGAGAGACACATCGATTGGTTGCCTCCCACACGCGCCCATTCGGAATCGGACCTGCAACCAGTTAGATGCCCTTGACTGGGAATCGAACCCAAGACCCTTCAGTGAGTGGGCTGACCCTCTAAGCATTTAGCAACGCTGGCCAGGGCTAGGCCAAGCTCCACTTTTGCTAAGACCCTCCAAGCACACAAAGAACTTAGGACCCTCAGCTTCTGGGGACACATACAAAGGCCCACCAGCTCATGCTAATATTAGAGTCTCTAAGCCTAGGGAGGGGGATTGCATTATCAGAGCACCGTTGGCTGCACTTGGCCATGGGACCCAGGTCTGTGATTTGACTTGTTCCTGTTAAACTCCATCAGGTAAGAGCCAGTAGATCCATTTGGATTTGCCCCCAGGCCATGCGTGGGCCAGGAGCTCCCAGCCATGCAAGGGGGGCTGGGACCAGACTGCCTCCCTGCCCTTGAGGAGCCCCAGATCCAGGCGGGCAGGTGAGTGAATGACAGTGATGGGTAGCCATGGGCCCCCTCTACTCTCCTGGATGGGGGAGGAGCTGCCCTCTGCCTAACCCACCCCCTAGTCATGTCAGTTTGTCTGTGTGTCTGCCTGTCCCTCCACCTGTTTATTTTTAGACACAGGCCCCTTCCAACCTCCCTGAAGCTCCTCTGTGTTAGGAGCCTGGAAAGAGAGGAAGGAAGTAAATATTTATGCTGATTAAGAATTCAGGAGCCAGGAAGGGCTGGTGGCCTGGCCCTTGGCTGGCCTGGGGCCACAGGCCTCCCCAAAGCCTCCACTTCCCACCCCCAACCCCCAACCCCACCTTGCAGAGAAGGGGACCATGAGGGCAGAATCGTTTGGAGATGAGAATTCAAAGTGACACTGACTCTCATTGGCGTCGTTGTCCAAGCAACATCCTTTGGCACTTGCCCCACTGCCCTCCTCCCAGACCAGAGGGGACCAGGGAGGAGCCCCGAGCCCTGGGTCACCTTGTTCTGAAGACCTGAAGGAGATACTGCCTCAATCCAGAACCAGGGAGGGCCCCAAAAGGAACCTGTCCCCCAGGGTGGGGCCCAAGGTGGGAGAGGGTACCCCTGCCCCCCACTGCTGCCCTTGGGTTTTGCCCAGGGTTTCATTCTGATGGGAGCCAGAGCCCAACCTCTCCACTCCTGGAAAAGGAGGAAGGCCCCGCCCCCCAAAGCCCACAGTCCCAGCAACCCCATCCCCAGGCTGGCCTCACCCCAATTTCCCTCCCAATGGGGGCCCCACTCCAAGGGGAAGATGCCGGTGACCCCACTCCTTGGCCAACCTCAGTGTCCTCTTTCACCCCCATCCCCCATCCCCCAGCCAGCGGCCAGTCTGGGCTCCAGCTCTGCTCTTTGTTCCTGGGCTGGGTGAAGGGGGGCGGGTGAGAGCCAGCTATGCTCGCGGGAGGCTGAGGGGACAACCCGGCTGGAGACCCTGGGACTGGCGCTGTGATAACCCACAGAGGCCAGCCAGCCATCACCCCATTGAATGCCTGACAACCAGGGAGGTGGGGAGGATGGAGACGCCCAAAAGGGCAGCTGTCTTGTTCTGAGGGTGCAGACAAGTTTCTTAACCAGTGGTGGGGCCCGCAATAGGCGGGGGCCACGAGTCTCCACCCCGTGCGGGCACTCAGCAGGCACCCCGTGGGTGCAGCGCGGAGTCCCCTGGGAACCTGGCTTGATGATGTGACTCCGCTCTGCTGGTGCTGGTGCGGGGTTGTGGGGCTCTGTGTGGGCGGGATGCTGGGTGGGGAGGCAACGCAGAGGTGGTCACGCTGCCTGCCGGGTGCTGCACAGCAACTCCAGCTGCGAAAGGAACTAATTAGAG